CAGAATTCGAATTGTTTATATGCATGATGTTTCATTAGAGGACCACTTTATCGACTTGGTCAATTTTGTTGTTGTCGACTCTAGTACTATGTAAATGACCAATATCAAATAACATGCGAGTCGAAATACAATGCAACAAAATAAAATATTAATCATGTGTTACAAACAAGTAAAGAAATTCAATTATCATCTATAAATCTCAATAAAATAAGTTTTACTTCTACATATGAAACTTTTTTCTATCATCCGAGAACAATCATTTCTCTTCCGAGGATCTCTATTCAATCAAAGCAAGCGAGGGAAATCAAGTTTATCTTGTCCTTTTCACTTCTTCCACTTTGTGACTGCATCCATTATCAACGAATATTATAAATCTGGAGAGGATGTGTATGATGTAATTCTTAACACATTTTTTCCAATCTTTTTTGTCATTCTGTTCAGTGGTAAATTATTGGAAGATACTTCAAAGAGTTCTTTTATCAATAGAAAAATTCACATTATATTTTTTATTCAAAAAGAAAAATGCATGATTATATATCTTTTTGATTCAATTACCATAAAATTAGCCCTATGGATGGATATATTTATGTCCAAGAAAGCCAAACGTAATAATAATAATTTAGTGGGTTAAAAGGCTCACTATATTAATAAATGAATATATTTATATACAACAATAATTCAGCAAACACACATAAGCATAAATCAGAGCAGAAGATCATCCTAATAGGTTAAGTATTTTATTAATTAACCAAAATCAAGGAACTCTTTAACATGAGTGGTCAATATTTAAATTGTTAATGATCTTTAAAGTCTACATAATAACAATATGCTAGCACCTTGGCTTTAGAATGAGTCCAATATCATTAACTTATCCAAGAATTAGCAGAATTGCAATTTTTGGATGTGTTAATGAAATTTGTGAATTTGCAATTCATATGTGAAATTCAAATTAGCCAATCAGAATTTCATATCCAAACACAAAATTTTAACTACAAAACAGATGTAATATGAGTTAATTTAGGCGTATATTGTTGATGTTTTAAACCGCTGATGACGATCTTTAAAGTCTGCGATTTTTGGGTATGATGTTGAACGAGTACATGATTCAATTTATTCTTAAAAATTGGAATATCATTTATAAGTGTAAATTTAAATTATCAACAAATGTTAAATAAAACCTTTATGACAACAATGTGAAATTTTTTAATATAATGGATGAACCGAGATATTCCCAAAATCGTTGATGTGAAATTTTTTATTTCGCAACACAATAAAATTTGCAAATTTTGAAATTTTGTTTCTAATTGAAATATCAATATAATTACACGAACTCCTATCAAAATCTTAAGATATTCGCCGGTAAAGATGCTTCAAAGATAATTTAATAATAACAATTAAAAATCTTATTATAATTGCAAGGTTGGATTATATTAATAGATTATTATTATAATTTATTTAGGCACTTAGAATTGGTTACTTACAACTGGAAGATGCAATTGCAGGTCATAAGCACATTGAATGATAAACAAGTAATTTTTCACATTAAGGACGGATAATAATACCAAGATCATGAAAAGATGAAACTTTTAAGAGAAAGCTGCGTATTCTTTTCCTTCTTTGATATTTATTCATAGGAGGTTTTGGTGATGAGCCCACTTTTTTAAAAGACAAATGAACCTCCGCTCAATTTTTTGGACACAATGATGAGTTTTATGATCTTGTAAATCATCATTATTAACATTGTTGTTGGTATTATTAGTATTGATGCTGGTCACTGGTAGAAAGTTTTAGTTTTGACGATGTTTTGCCAACGATCTAGTTATGTAACTTAAAATTATAATTAAACCGTAAAGAGTTACACGATTGCCTTTTCTCGATAAATAGCCTGGATTAGCTTACAATTTTATCCACGTTTAAAAATAAATAATTAAGATCAACTTTGTTAAAAAATATTAATGTGAAAAAAAAAAAACGGAAAGCTGGCGAACAATTATTTAGGCCTGCTCGATCACTGGGCCCTAATCCAATTGAGCATCTTTAGGATGAACTTGAAGGGCAATTGAAAAAAAGAAACAGAGTTTCTGAAATGCAGCGGATTGAAATTGCTATGCTCTGCAAGAAGAATTGTCTAACTAACGTTTCTCAAGAAATTTAATGGAAATCATGCCAAGGAGAATTGAAGCATGCATACTGATAATGTATGGCCAACGAAACATTTATTTTTCGTTTTTATCTTTGTTTTTATTTTAGAAAATTTCGCATGCTAGAAACATCAGATTTACATGCATATTCATTGGAACTTGAGCTACAATCTTTTTTAAATTTTACGCAATTGATAAAAAAACGATATGATACTTTCTTCTGGGCAGTGTAAATGATAATGATTTCTATTTCAATTTAATTTTCTATGGATCTTTTAAGACCAGATTAAAGAAAAGGTGAATTATAATCCGACTTGTTGGAATATAAAAAACAATTCAGACAATGTTCATTATACTTAACTCTTTCATATACAGCAGAGTAAGAAACTCTGAATATCATGGTCAAACTATTCAGCAATAATAATATTGTCGTGAAATACTCTCATATATATATATATATGTCCATAAATCATAATTAGTTCTCTAGTAATACTTTTTAACAATTGATATTTTACAAATTTAATAAAATGCATTTTTTCCGTATTAATATATTTTTGAAGGAAATTTCACCTACTTCGCAACTTTAATTATTCACATCAACTCTCACCATCATCGTCATCTTCTCCTTTGCATTCATTTTCGCCATTACTGTTTAATAATTATTTCACGTTTCCAAAATTTTTCTATTAAACCAGGATTAATATTTTTCTTTATTGGTTGCTGTAATGACCCAGACAAAGTAACTGTGAAGAAGAAGATGATGATAAAGATCTTTTCTTGTTCCTTTATCTTTATGCTTTTGTATCATAAATTGTTTGTTCGTCTACATAAAAAATAACATGTAAAAAATGGAAGACGACTTTTATTATTGTTGTTTCCAGTCTTTTTTTAAAATTAAAGTTAACGACAATTATTAAATATAATACTAGATGAAATCACATGATTTTGTTTGCATATTATTTTAACGTTGTTGTTAGTAGTAGTAGAAATATAATTTCATTCGTTATGCAGCAAAGAACTTTATTGATTAATTAATATATATATGAAAGTTTGATATTTAGATGGGTGATTTTGATGATATGGGTCATTTGGTAAAATTGGTTTTGATTCTGATATTTGCTGGTGTTTGCGAGAGTTGTTTAACATTTCAACAAAGATCGATTGGCATTAGATGTACAGCAGACAGATAATAGATAAAGCATGTAAACAAGTAAACCTACGTTGTTGCGGTGATTATATTAAATGAGATTGGTGTAGCGGCAGTTAAAATGTTGATAAAAATCTTGCCTGTTCTAGTGACTAATACAACGACTAAAACGTCAGAAGCCAATGGTAGAAGTTCATAATCTGTAATTAAATTTTTAACTCAATTACACAAATATAAACTATTGAAAATACCAAAGTTGATTGGTAGTTGATTGGTAGTAAGTAATGGTAAACTTTCTTTTTATTTAAATTAATTAATTAATTAATTTATCGACATCATTTAAGTTTGCTAATATTGCTGATTTACTTGTTGACTAAAGATGGTCGGCCCTCTCACTATTATTCTTAATATAGTAATAGATTATTTGAGTTCTAAACAAAACAGAGTGGTTATTTGTGTTCATTCATATAAGAAAAATCGAGAATCCGAAATTAAAAAAAGTAAAAAATTGATTTCGGGCCATCTTATTTGTTGACCTGATTAGAGATAAAATAATTGTACGTATTACACATATGCCTTATGCAACAAAACTGGACATAGTGCCACAAAATAATTTCAGGGTTCAAAGATAAATTGTGTGATGCTGAATCAAAATAAATCAATTTCTCTTTTATTTATTGTTTAATCCTTTCCTTGTCCAATATGATGTTTATGATGATGATGATGTTATGTTATAAATAACTTGATATCTTAAATTCGCAAAGGATTACTAAACAAATTCCATTGCCCAAGTAATTATAATATTTAAGACCATGCAAAAATGAAACTTAAGGAACCAATTTAATAATATCCAAGATAGAAAGATTTGAGTAAGAGAAAATAAAATTATTGTAAGCTGCAGGGTTCCTTAAAAATCATTTGAACACAAGTGTCAGATTTATATAGAACAATCTTTTCTACGCCTATGCAGGTGTCTCCATGTTGTTCTGGTTAAAAAATCCAAGTCAACCATGTATTTTCCTTTCAGATGGCCTTTCTTCACAGAGGTTGTTGCTACAGAAAATCTTTGATTTCACTGGTTAAAAAATAGTGTGGTCGTGATTTTGGCTATTGTTGCAAATGATGTCAAGAAGTAAAATATCATTTTATTTTTATTTTTTATTAATACTTACTTACGCCTTAATAGGACCTCGGAGACTACATAGACAGGTTACCTGAAGCTCGGATAAATCAGTTAGAGAATATTTTGGGTAAAATAAATGGTTTTTTTTGTCAGTACTGATAAAATAAAATATTTTTTTATCAATTGTCAATAATAATGTATCCTTGGAGCATGGAACAGAATCTATATATTGTGAATTTTACAAAATTCAACAAAAATTCCTTAGAGATAAAATAATTATTTATTACAGGTCATATTCATGATTTTGAGTTTCAAACAGAGTGTTGATATTGGCCAAGTAATGAAGAAAATTTATGAGCGATAAGAATTGGTCATAAACAGGCATCAGGTTTCAGCAGGTTTTTAGAAATGAGGTTATTAGAGAATGAAATTCCAAACACTTTACCAGCACTATAATAATGAACTAGATCAAAAACGGAAATTTATGAACCTTTAATATAATTTTAACTGATCCAATTAGATATGATGAAACAATGTGAATTATCAGAATAATGTTGATATGAATTCAGTAAATGTAATTATTATATAAATGGTGCAAAATGATAGTGTTGAAATAAACAGGCCAAGAGCATTCATTTCATTAGTAGAAAATGAATATTTGTTATTTATTATTGATGGACAATTAGCAATTGGAAAAGTTATTTCAAATCAGTTGGAAATAGACATGCTTGTGTATCTAATCCAGCTCTTTTATTGACACTTTATCTTATATTTCTGTAATTGCATTTATTAAAATCATCATGGAAGGATTATTTTCACAAAAATGTGAATTAGGTGAAAATTTGTTTGTTTGCACATTATCAAATCATCTCAAGTAATATATTATTTTAGCATTGATTTAAATTTAATGATCATGGTTAACTTTTCCAGGATTCCATCAATGCCAGGAAATTCTTTGGATATTTACAACTTTTTGCAAGAAGAGAAATTTAATTAATATAGTGCAAAAAAAGTTTTAATGTCCCTGCCTATTTTTGGGTAAACTCATTAGTAAAATTTGAGGGGTAACCTATCTTCAAAAAGAACCTTATTGCTAAAGTAATAAAAACAACAACATATTGATAAAAAAATGTTATCATAACTAAAGCAATAAACTGACGTTTTATATATGATTAACTGAAGATGATATAACATATCAAAAATTTGTCTGGATAACTTTTCTTGATGAAGTTGAGACATCACCTTTTACTTTGCTTTCCTCGGCATATTTCCAAAGTAATCATTTCTGACGGCATTGTTTTGAGTTCTTTTTTTTTTCGAAATTATCACCATCACTTACTTCCACGTTTCGCCAAATGTATGTTTGTATAATAATAATCAAGATATTAAATTGTGCTTAATACAAAAATTAAAAATTAATTAATCCAGATAAAAAACAAAAAAAATCCTAAAATCACTTCTTTTCATCGGTTCAATTCTTCCTTCCTCTATCACAGTAACCAAGCCAGTCTCCTCTTCTAGGTGATTGGCTACTTGCATAATTGGCACTGTACTGTGGAATGAAAATTTACGAGTATATACCCAGGATTACTTTATATAGTAGCTTGTCATGTAAAATTAGAACACCACCAATAAGTGTGATTTGTTGTTTTATTCCAAGCATTAAAGAATAAATGAATTAATTAGTAAGGCTCAAACTCCTAATCCCGTTCCTAATGATACAGAGGTAGTAGGTAAGCAAGTTAAGAAAACAAGTAATTGATAAAGAGAAAGTCATTATTGGAAAAAATGAAGGCTTGTCCAAGATTTCTCGGCAAGGACAAGAAATCATTGGTGCTGGTACTTCAGCATTCCAAGTGTTTGATGAATTAGAGCAAGAAAAAAGGACGCCTGCTGTTTAAATATTTGCGAGTTTGTTGTTCTAGGTCGATTAATTATTAATTATAAATCAAAGAAATAAAAAATAATTAAAAAATGATTTTAGAAAAAAATTTAAAAGAGAATAAGGAAAATATTCAGGAATTTCGGAATAAAGAAACTTGAAAGGTGAAATTATTCACTATTTAAGAAAAAAGTCCTAACGATTGATTACTTATTACTATATTAATATTAATGTAAATTATGAAACAAAATGCTAATCAATTTTGATTAAATTTGGGCCCTGAAATTTCTTTATGACAACTGGTACGACCTAAATAAAACTCCTTCAATTCCAAAAAAAAAAAACATTTGGTTTCTTAATTTGGTCAAGAGTTGTTGAAAAATTTGAATTGAACCGAGAAATTTGGTAAATCAACGCGCGTGTATGTATGTACATTCTAATTCAATAAAAAAGTAAAATAAAACAATAATAAAAATCTATCTTATTATAACAATTATTACACAATACATTATTGTAGTAATATTCCTTATTTAATAATTTCATAACCTTACATAGTTCAGTATATAATAAATATGTGTATATAAATATAAGAAAAAGAGTTTACTGGAAAAATTTTTTATAAAAAATATTTATTTATTTATTTATTTTGTTTAAATTTTTTAAAAAGTAATTAATTTTCTTTCTTTTGTTTTTTCGAAATTTTCAATTTTCATTTTATCCCGTCCATCCATCCATCCATATCTCCAATCACACCTTTCCTTCTTCAATCCTTCAATCCTTCAATCCTTCATCCCTTCATCCCTTCATCCCTTCATCCCTTCATCCCTTCATCCGTTCATTGTCACGTCACATCGCCATCATAAATTTTTTTTCTTTGGAGAAAAAAAAAATGAGTAGTATCAATGATTGGTGCTCGCAGGGTAATTATTTAATAATTAATGCTTTTTTTTTTAATTATTATTATATTATTATAAATTATTAATTAAAATATATTATAGCCGAGAATATCCAGAGATTGGAATGTACAAATAATAAAAATAAAAATATAGAAAATCCAAAAATCACCAACACTGTCAGTATTGTAACAACATCACTAACAACCACACCGTCGTCAACTACATCATTAGATTTAGCATCATCATCATTGCCTCCATACCCAAGTAAATATGTTATGTCAGTTATTGTTCCAATAAGTAAGTAACATTATTAATTAAATATTAGTAGCGATGATACCTATTACTATTACAATTATTATTGTAATGAAACAATTATTCTAACAACTCATTATTAAATCATTAAAGGTATTATACTTCTAGGAGTAATATTATTATTTACAATAATAACTTGTGTAGCAATCCGAATTATTAAAAATAACAGAAGCCTTGATAGGAATAGTTGTAGTAGTAGCAATAGTAATAATAATAGTAATAGTAATTTACTATCATCATTATTTCCGTCATCATCTAAAAAAATAAAAAATAAATCAAGTCAAATTGAAATATTAGCTACTATAAAACAAGATGCGGATGAGGGTTATAGGGAAGAGGAAGAAGAGGAAGAAGAAATTGGAAAAGAAAGAAGATCGGAAAACACATGGGAAATTATTAGTATTGGGGAAGGTGAAAGAAAAGAAGGTGAAGAAGGAGATCAAGCAACTGGTGATAACAATAGCATTGTAATTGATATTAACAACAACAACTACTACAATAATGACAGTGATGTGATGAGTGAAATTATGAGTGAAATAAACGGTGAAAAATATTATAATGGAATTAAAGTGCCTCCTTTAGGTGCAAGAATCATACCATTAGAAAGACAAATGGAAATCAGCAAAGAACTATCTGAAAAACAAAACTATCATCAATATTATGATAATCAATCAGATTAGTCAATTTATTTATTTTAATTTTAATTTAATAATAATATAATAATAATAATTTAATAATTTAATAATTAATAATTTAATTTAATAATAATTATTTAATAATAATAGTAATAATTGAAAAAATAGAATGTGTATATTATATCATAGAAAATGTCATTATTATGTCATGTCATGTACATTAATATTATATATATAAAATAGATTTTTCCTCATCAATTATAAAAATATAATTGATAATAATATCAAAGAATATATTGTAAGTGCCAATATGCTAATCAATGCAACGTAGCTTCCGCTTGTTATAAATGGTTTCGATTTATCAAGTGCATCTAAAATATTTCGTCTTCTTAGCAGCGAAATATACATCACTGATAGTCCAAATACAACCAATAACATCCCTATTTTATAAAATGATTTCTCAAATATTCTTAAAATAATTGTTGAAAATAACAAGGTCGTCATTGTTGTTCTCCAATATGCCCCCTCAAAAGTCCTTTGCTGAGCTATAATCAAAAATATTGATTAAGAAGATGTTATTATTGTAACAACAAATATGTGTGTATGTATGTATATTTGTAGATTCACTTGCCTCTATATTTTTTATGTAAAAGTTGAAAATTCAAATTTAAATTCAAATTATTTCAGACTTGGAAATTTTATTTTTAATTTTAATTTCTAAATCCAACTAAAAATCAATATATTACCTTATTTCAACATATTCTGCTTCAGTTAATACTAACTCGCGTGTCATTTTGACAGTTTAAAGATAATGAAAATAGCGTCACACGATTTTATATAAATGTTTTTTTTTATGTTAAAAATTCAAGTTGATCGTGTAAATATTCGCCTCATATATTAATATACATAGTAATAGTAATAGTGTAACAGAAAAATCGGAAATCTTATTATTATTATTTGTTTCAAAAGAAAGCCGAAAATTTAATATTAGGCAATGAAGTTAATTTTGTTCCATTAATTATAAAAATCAGCAAATTCATTTCTCACTAATTTGCCAAATGTCATTCCAATTCTTTGGAGTTTTTTAACATTCATTACTCAATCAATATATGAACATTGTTGAATAAATAATAGCACATATTGAAGTTTTCATGAATAAATTTTGATGTTTCAATATATGAACTTTCAAAATCCAATTAAAATCAAAACAACATCTCAATCTTTGTGATAAGTTCAGGAATGATCTCTATATAGAATGTAGTGGCTAGAACATCCTTTTTCTAAATTGTACAAAAAATTTTCCGGTTTTTTTGTTACACACTGTATATACATATTAATATATAAAATTATTTAAGCAAATTGCTTTTTATTTTATTACTAGGTAAAAATTTTATGATCGAAAAATACTTACAATATCATGGAAGCATCCATTTTCGATAGAGTGCACCGTGAACGTGAGCAAGCAAAGCAGGTATTCAGTCATGCAATGAATATTATATTTCGTTGGTTTCTATCATAAAATGTTTATTCATTGGGTTTCCTCACCTGTGGTATTTTAACGATCAAATTGGCAGACTTGTCTAGGAGCGTCTGTCTTCGATTGAAAAAATACGTGAGCGAGTGTTAAAGATCTCATGTGAAGTCTAACTATTGACATCGTTAAATTCTTCTTTATTCACGTCATGATATTCTTCGGATCAAAAGTATCTTTTATGACTCATTACCGCCAAAAAAAAAATATGGCTTACTTTTTTTCTTTATTAGGAAAAAACCAGTCAAAACTTCAACACGTTCAGGAGTTTTTGGATGTTACATATTATGTTTTTATGTAACTCGTGGAAAATAAAAAATGATTGCGGTTGTGTAAGTAAATAAATGAATACATTATTTTTTTCAGTCAGTTCAATGATCTATGGTGCACAGCTCATTCCTCATCTTCCTACCAAAATAGTCAAAAAAAAACTTTAATTTTATTATTATTAATTGCTTTTTTAGATGCAATTTTATTATTAGAATAAAGGGTCGATATATTCTATTCTCGGAATAATATTAATAAGTTGAACAGGTTATGTGGCTTATGGAGGTCACAGTGATAATGAAAACAGAATTACCACTGAAATCTCGTGACATCACATGGAACTTTGGAATAGAAGTTAAATGGAAAACTTCTTAAAAAACAAAAAAACAAAAAACCAGGTTTTTTGTGTAGCAAATCAAAAACAAAACTAATAAATAAATAGATAAATAATAATAAACATGTAATTAATTCCTGTTTAAACTTTTAATCTTGGGCGTATAATTTACCTTTGAATTAATTATCAAACTTTCCAAGTGCCGAGATATTGATACTGCTTATTATTCTATAAAATGAGTTAATGAAATTTTTTATCATCTTATTATTATGGGAAGTAAAGATTTGAATTACAAAATTTGGCGGGAGGGTGTAACATTACACAACTCGAGTGCACTTATTTTTTTATTTTATAATAATGAATATTGTATTACGAAAAAAATTAAAATCAAATGGTTCTTGTTGTTTTTTCACCTTCCCAATGCTTTAGTGCTTTTAAATAATCAAAATTTTCAATTTCTGGTCCATTTAATAAAACAATCATTATGTTCCCATTGATTGAGGAATTTAATTCTTCAAAAAGTGATATTTTTATTACATGAGCTATACTATGTAAAAAATCAAGCCCAGATACACAATTGTTATAGCTTCCATATTTTGATTTAGATGTTGATAGTTTTTCCATGGAAGCAGATTTCAAAGTAGTGATGTCATTAATTCATTGTTATTTTCAATCTGTAGTGATTAAGGTTGTGGGTGAAACTCCTCCAGAAATCAATTGGCAGAGTTTCAACAGGTTACACATTAATTGTTTATTAGAGTTTTGACAATCACCAAGAGGTTTCAGCAAGCAACCTTAGTAGTTGTATTAAATTACTTAAACCAGAATAAATGTTTAATGGAATATAATTCTCATTAAAGAAATAATTTTGTGCTTAATTGTGTAATTCTTCAAATTTTTTATGTTCAGAGGTTCTCATATGTTCCCTGATTTTATCTATTCTTAACAAAGGTGTATCTCTTGCAAATGTTGCTATTCCATTGCATTCTCTACAAATTCTACAATACAACATTATATTTCCATTAATAGATTCAGTTCTCAACCATGGATAATCAGCAAACCACTTAAAGTCAGCAGTTTTTCTAATATGTATTTTCAGGAGTTATTATTATAGCTTGATCACCATTATTTGATTCATCATCTGACAAAAATTAATGATTTTCAATTTCCATTGGAATATTCATTAATTGTTGATTTACATTTTAATATATGTTAGAAAGAAATTAATTGAGTTTTAATTAAATTAAATCAACAATTTTTTTAATAACAAGTCTGGTATTTATGACAAAAAATCATTCCCCGTTTTTATTTTTCTTAATACAATATAATCCAATTACAAGTGTGCGACAAATTTAAATTTTAAACTATAATTAATTTATTTCGCGCACACACAATTTTGATATAACGTTACACCATCCAGTTGAATTTTATATATACACTGGTTTAATTATTTTATATACAGTGAATCTCGATTTAGTGGATAGTTTGGACTATTAGGGAAAATTTCCCAAAAATCCGTTAAACCGAGATATCCACTATATCGAGAAGGTTTTTATTAAGGTTTATTATTATTATGGAACCGTTCTTTGAACCTATCCGTAAAACCGAGATTTTTAATTAGTATCCGCTAAATCGAGGTTCCGCTAAATCGAGATTCACTGTGTATATCCAAGAATTATATCATAAATTATTTTCACATAAAAAATCAAACTGCAAATATTTTTATCAGTAGAGCCTTGAAATCGTAAATCAAGCAAGCTAATTAGCGGTCAAAAGTAATTTTGGAAAAAGATACTTGATAAAATAAAAGCCGAGATTTTTCATTCAAGAATTTAAGAATTTCCTGGAGAAAGAAAAAATAGTTGCTGCATTAACCAAATTTGGAAATTATCTGAATAATACCTTTATCTTTCATATATTACAAAGCATCATCCAAGATCAAAGAATTCCCGATTTTTGAAAAAGTTACACAAAAAAAAGAGGCTTCTGAATATCACATAAATAAATAAATATTAATTTGAAACATTTGATTTTAAAAAAAAGAAATCATAGCATGGTTATAATAATAATAAAAATGTTGAGAATCCGAACACTGCCGAAACAATTTCGGCAAACATCCATGTTCGAAAAAAAAAACAATCAAGATAAAGAATATACTTACGTACATCTTTAACCAATTTTAAATTTATTACGAAAATATCAACTAATTTTTAATCCAAGAAAACCCTAACCAACAAAGTTTTGAAGCTAGGATCGTAAAAATTTCGAATGTTATACAAAATTTTACGTCTGACTGTATATAGTAAATCATAAAAAAAATGAATTTCATCCATCCATCTACATTGATTGGGATCTGCGTTGACATTTTAGAAACAAATCATGCATACTCGTACGCTCTCACAACTCCCTTTACTAATTTTCCCATATCGATATTACTAATATTAATATTAAATTAATTAACTTCGCTTTACTATTTCTACTTTAGCCGTTTCATCATGAACACATATTTACATCATTATTGACCAACCAACCATTGATTTTTTAATTTGTTGCACGAACTCTATAAATAAATATTATTTGTTATAACAAATAAATAAATAAATACTTGTATTTATTTTTTGTTGTAACAAATAAAAAAAAATAAAATTTATAAAATATTATCTTTATTATTTTGTAAGAAATAAATTAAATTCTAATTTCGTAAATCACGTGATCATCGATTTAAAAAAATTTATAAATTCAAAAAAACTTTCTTCTAAAAATTCTTTTTTTTTCCTTTAAAAAAAAAAATTTCGAATTCAATTGACGCAGTAATTAATATTTTTTATCTGTCATGCAAAATAATAATCTTTCAACCAATACTACAACTGAAGAAAAAAATCAAAATGAAAAAACATTTCATTCGCAAGAAAATGTTGACAATGATCGTAATATTATAAAAAAAAGTGATAACGATAACCTAAATAATACTAACAGCACTAATAATAATACCAATAGTAATAATAACAATAATAGTAACAATAATCTTGATAATAACAATAACGACAATATTGCTACCTCAAATATAACTAGTATAAATAATATACCTACAACTTCTCTCACTTTGGACACTTCAAATTCTTCTTCTTATACCAATCATGATGTTCCTTGGTCTGCTGCATCATTAAAAATTGAACACTTTGAAAACAGCAACAACAATAATTCAGATGAGGAAAATAAATTAGAAACTCCAATTTATGTCGATGATCTTTCACAAGCTCCCACATTTACACCTTTTAGTCACAACAATGGCAACAGCTCCAATTACAACTCTGACCGTCATGAACAGTATAGTAGTGATAATAATGGTAGCAGTGACATTAATCTAAGAAACAACAGGAAGAATGGTAGTCATAACAGTAACCATTACAAAGTATTACCTCAAAATGTTTCACCTAAAACATCAAAATTAAGAAAACGTAACAGTATAGCAAGTGATGGGCTTGGTGGCAGTAGTGGTGGATATAAAGATGGTGGGAACGTTACTCAAGATGATACTGGTTCAGAGCTTCCACTTGTAGTTGGCGGTGGTTATGTTCCCGCCACTCCAAAAAGAAATATCGAATTCCATTCTTTATTTAGAAGTGTGCCTGAATATGATTCTTTGATAAATGGTAATTTGCATACAATTCAGGTTAACTATTGTAAATTTTTAATTATTTAATTTATTTATTTTATCATTATTTTAGATTTTGGATGTGCTTTACAAAGAGAAATTTTGGTTCAAGGACGTTTATATGTTTCTTGTACTCACGTTTGTTTCAATGCAAATATCTTTGGATGGATCACAAATGTATGTATTTATTTATATTTTGAATTTATATATTTGCAAGTTTATGTAACTTTGTAGATTTATATAATTAGTAATTAATCATAAAATATTTATACATAATTTATATTATATAGTTGGTAATAGCATTCAAAGATATTGTATCAATTGAAAAAAGGATGACCGCTTTTGTTATACCAAATGCCATTTTAATATCTACATTACATGCAAAGGTAATTATCATTATGATCTTATTCATTTAACATTTATTTAACAGTGTTGTTTATTTTTCTAGAATTTCTTTACGTCATTTCTTGCAAGAGATACGGCATATGAATTATTATATACTATGTGGAAACAATCTCATCCATCATTAGCCCGATCAACTTCTATGTATGATGAAAGTGACAATACAACCTGTTCTTCTGATATATCAGATGATGATAATGACGATAATGATTTATCTAGCTGTGATGAAGGTATTCATTATTTTTTTTTTTTAATTATCAAATTATGTCAAATAAAAAATAATTATGTATATATATATATGTGTATGTGAATATGGTTAGTCGAGGAAAAATCAGAAGGATTTGGTCGTAATTTTATGAATGGTACTGCTGGATTATTACCTAAAATACCATTCTTTCCAAAAAAAACTACACCAGAAGAGATTAATAACAGTGGTGAGGCTGAAGATAATGTTGATCATAATGATGCTGATAATATTGATAATAACAATGATGATTATGACGAGAAGGAACGAAAAATAGATGATAATAATAACGATAACAATAATGATAACAATATCAATAATAATAACAATAACAATGAAAATACTATCGGTAATTTATTAACACCAAAGAAATCATATTCAACATTTGCATCAATGACAACATCTGCCCTATTATCTACAACTGCAACGTTAACTGCACTGGCAACTGGAAACAACAACAACAACAACAACAACAACAACAACAATAACAACAATAACAATAGTAATAATTATGCTGATGTTGTTGATCAAAAATCAACAATAAAAGGTACAAGAAAAACCAATCTATTTGAGTCAGATTTCTTTGTTACTAGTCGTTGTTGTAATTAATAATGATAATATTAATAACGATTATATTAGTAATGGTTATAATAATAGTATTAGTGTAGTGGTAGTAGTATTAACAACAATAATATTATTAGTGTTAAAATTCGCATTTCTAGTGGTATTTCTAGTAATACTAGCAAAATTATAATAAGGAATCAAAACAAAATTCCTAATTAATAATGATTACTAATTCACCTGCTTTTTATTTTTTTATTTTTTTTTTTATTTTACAGTCCCAACTACTCCTGACGCAAAAAAACAAAATTCCAAGATAAACAACAATAATTCATCATCAAAATCTAAATCCACCAGAAATAATAACTCCACATCAAACAACAACAATTCTACAACCCATGGTACCAATAATAATAGTTCTAGAACATCCAATTCAAGAAAAAATAATCATAATCATCAACAACTACCACCACTGATATCACGTGGTTTAAGTATTTCAAAATCTGCTGTGAACAAACGAAGATCACCAACTCAATGCGCTTGCATGAAAAATAATCATTTCGCCAATTTATCTTTTGATGGTAAATTACCAGGAACAGTAGAAAAAATTTATAATTTGCTATTTACCAGTGATTTTGTAGAACGTTATCTTACCTACGAGGAAAAATGTACGGAGGTTCATATAGGTGAATGGAAAGCAGGTTATAATGGCAATTTAACACGATCGACGGATTATATAAAACCACTAAATAATTCATTAGGTAAATCATTTATTTATCTTATTATTTCATTTGTAGAGTCATCATTACACATTATTTACATTTAAACTTTTTTTTTAAAAAATAAAAATGTTGAATTAGGACCAAAAAGTACAAAATGCATTATTAATAATGAATCCTTACATCGAGACTTTGAAAAGTATATACAATAATATAAATGCATTTATAACAGTTATATATAACTAATATACAATTTTTTATTTATTCGTTAGTTATACTACTAACTTGTCTATTACCACAACACCTGATGTTCCATCTGGAGGTTCTTTCTGCGTAAAAACAAAAACTTGTATAATGTGGGCAGGTCAAAGTGACACTAGAATCATTGTAACATGTAGTGTTGAGTGGTCTAAATCTAGTTGGTTGAAAGGTATTATTTAAAACGAATCTTTTATGTTTATTTATATTTTATTTGTTTTATTTATTTATTTTATTTATTACTTATCAAGGTACAATTGAAAAGGCGTGTATCGAAGGACAACAACAACATTGGAAAAGTTTAATGCACTCTGCAAAGAAATATATTTCTGCACATCCTACCGAATTCAGGGATGAACTTGTTACTTCACCCATACGAGAAAAACCAGGAATATTAATAGAATCGGAGGAAATTTGTGATGAAAGACCATCATCCATATCAAGACGTAGATCAAAAGAACCATGCAAACCACTAACCATCACTGGTGATCTTGATCTTCATGAACAATTGCCGCCTACACCTGGACAACGTAAAGCAGCTGGTATTATAAGTGCACTTTTAGAACTTCCAAGCATCATATCATCCATCTTGGGTCCATTAGTTCAAACCATTTTTTCTGGTCCACCCTCAACCAACACATTGGCAGTCTTAGTATTAGTTGCTACTTTGATAATTAATTTTTCAACTTATATGGTAATTCGGGATTTAGGGTATAGACTTGATAATATGGAAAAAAGGACTAATATTCACCATCCATCTCATCATTATAGTGGAGGAGGAAGGAGAAGTGCTAATTATAATAGCAATAATAATAATGCTGATGAACCAAAAAGGTATCGAGAACTTGTTTCAATATTTGATGATCATTTTGAAAATGATGTTGATTTATTATGGAAATGGATGAATGAAAAATCAAAAAGATATGATAATTTACAACAAAAAGATAAAGATTATTATCATCAAGCAAAATATTCCTCGCCACCATTATCATCATCAACTAGACATAATCCACAACCATCATCAACACAATACAACGACAATAATAATGAATCGGATAATACTGATGACGTGAAAAGTAATAATGAAAAAGAAAAGTCTAAATCTCTTATTACCTCACAAAACCTTTACGAACAAATTGATGATTTAGGCAAATTAATGAATTTTGCTGAAGGTCATGTGAAGAAATTAGTTAATGTTGCTGAAGTTGAAAGAACTTCTAATAAAGATGGTGATGATGATAGAATACAAAATGAACTATAAGAACTTATATATTTTTACATCTTGTTTTTTTTCTTTTCTCACTCTTTTAACTTAATTATTATCTTGCATATATAAACATTTTATTGTAATTAAAAAAAAAACTGTATAATATTTTTACTTAATATAAACACTTAGAATTATTATTGCTTAACAAGTAGAAAGGTGTTGGACTAGAGTTAAGCTAGCCAATGGTTGATGTTGATTACGTGAAAATATCTGGCCACCTGTTTTCATTTGCTGCCATATAAGTTGAAATATAATGAAATTTCTGGAGGCATTGACATCTCCATTCCTATTCCAGGCTGTTACAATTTTTTGCAGTTGAGCACAGTATGCAGAGGACTATCCAGTTTTTTGAACGAATTTTAGAAGATCCTAACTTAATCCTTTCTTCAAGATACTTCTGATAGTATTATAATTCTTGGGTTCCATAGTAGACCTGATGTAAATGAGTTTCATATTAACTATTTTGTCTAGACAAATATCATGGTCACTTTGTCTGGTTTTGTTGCAGTATGCCCCATATACCATTTTTCAGCATAGTGGAAATTTGAAATGTTGCACTAATTTTTTATACTGTGCAACGTAGCTTTACAATACACGGCAAACATTCTGGCAATAAAAAGTAAGTGATAAACTGGATTTGAATTTGAT